AAAAGCTTTTGGTTGCCATGTTTGTGGTAAAACATTTACAAGGAAATGTGACCTAAATGTGCATATGAGAACTCACACTGGTGAAAAAGCTTTTGCTTGTGATATTTGTGAAAAAAGATTTTTACGAAAGTCTCATTTAAATGTACATATGAGAATTCACACTGGCATAAAAGCTTTTTGCTGTGATGCTTGCGGTAAAAGATTTTGTGACGGATCGACTTTAAAAAAACACATGACAACTCATACTGGTGAAAAACACGCTAATTGTGATGCATGTGGTAAAGGATTTCGTGACCAGTCAGTTTTAAACAAACACATGAGAACTCACACAGGTGAAAAACCCTTTAGTTGTGATGCATGTGGTAAAAGAATGTGTGACCAGTCGACCCTTAAAGCTCATATGAGAATTCATAATGATGAAAAGCCCTTTAGTTGTGATGGTTGTTGTAAAATATTTCGTGATCAGTCCAGTTTAAAAAAACACATGAAAACGCACACAGGTGAAAAACCCTTTAGTTGTGATGAATGTGGTAAAAGATTTCGTGTCAGGTCAGTCCTTAAAAAACATATGAGAACTCACACAGGTGAAAAGCCCTTTAGTTGTAATGCATGTGGTAAAAGATTGTGTGACAAGTTGACTCTGGAAAGCCACATTAGAACTCACACAGGGGAAAAACCCTTTAGTTGTGAAGCTTGTGAAAAAAGATTTCGTGACAAGTCAACTCTAAATAAACATATGAAAACTCACACAAGTGAAAAACCATTTAGTTGTGATATTTGTGATAAAAGATTCTATAGCTGGTCAACACTAAAAAAACACAGTAGAACGCACACAAATGAAAAACCCTTTAGCTGTGATGAGTGCGGGAAAAGTTTTCGTGAACCATCAATTTTAAAAAGACACATAAAAACTCACACTGGTGAAAAACCCATCAGTTGTGATGTATGTGGTAAAAGATTTCGTGACAGCTCGGGTCTGAAATGCCACGTACGAACTCACACGGGTGAAAAACCTTTTAGTTGTGATTTGTGCGGTAAATGTTTCTGTGAGCAATCAAGTCTAAACAAACACGTGAAAACACACACGGATGAAAAACATGTGACACGTGAAAAAGATTTCGTGATTAGTCAAATCTAAAAAGCCATTTGAGAACTCACACAGGTGAAAAATACCACAGTTTACATATGCTGACAACTCTGCAAAAGAGATTACCACTTGCATTTAGTGTCTGTCTCCCTGAAAACTCCTGGATCAGCTTTTCTGAAAGGTTGACTCTATGTCAAGCTACAAAAGGTCAAGTTTTGAACTCCAGTGTTTGTTGCTGGGATGCCAGGACACGCTGCTCCCAACACTCAGATGCACCACAGTAGCCCTCGGTGCTACTTGACGCCATCATTGATAGACTTTGCATACCTAACACATGCTCTGACGCCAAGAACGCTTTTGGTGTGAACGCACCAATAGATCTTTCAACACATTCAAATTGTTCTGAACAAGTTTATTTTAACTCATTCCAAATCCTGAAGAGAAATGTGTTCTCCAAACCAGCCTGTTAGAATCTACTGTAATATTCATTAAAGTTTTTTAACTAATTTATATTTTGGTTTTTTGTTTTTTACTTTTTTATATTTCTCTAATTAGATGAATTTTGCTGAATAGTAATTTTAATTCAACCTGCCAATTTGATGACTTTGCTGCTATGTTTGGCAACTTTTCAGGCACTTGTAGTGACTGTTCAGCATGTTTTCTTCAACACACCTGTATCGAATACTCAGGTCATTAGCAGGACTCTGGAAGACTTGACTGCATGCTGAGCACTGTTGTTTTCGCCAACGATGATGATGACAAAATGATTTTGTTGAAGCTCATGTTTTCATAAGGAAAACCGATAAGCAAAACATAGATCTTTGATGACGAAAACATGATGACTCAGGGATGTGTATTTTTGTTGATGAGAGGAAATAAAAAAGTTATTTGGTGGTCTGTCAGATGTTTCAAATGTATCATTGTGCTGTAATCGGCTACAACTAATTTTCCTCAAGAGATCATAATATCCTCAAGAGATCACATTATCAAAGTGCAATCCTTTGAATAAAAATAATATACTATATAAGTATATAATATTTGTAAAGCATAATTCTATAGTGATATAAAACTTTGTGTTTATCATATTTATATTTATTTGCAAAATATATGACTTTCCATATATCTCATCCAGACGGAGTTCAGTTTAAATAGTTTTTAATCTGAATAAATATGTGTAATCTAACTGAAAGGTAATTTTAAAATTTGTTTTGGTCTTTTAAGGGGTTCTGACCACTAATCTCTATTTATTCGCTGGATTGACGATTGCCCGTTGGTAGTAGTTGAAGTGAAGCAACTGGCTGCCATATTGGTACTCCCTAGTTAGACCTGTTGCAAAGTAAACAATCCGTGGGCTACAGCATCGAACAACGAGGATGTTCTCATTTTCATTGGGACTTAAGACTTTTAAAATAAAGATGAATTCATCACTTTGACACACACTTGCTGGTTCATAGCATCAGTAGATTATTTTTAGCTTGTAATAAAACATAGTAACATCACATTGAATAGTCATTATGAAGTCAGTAAATCCTGTAATATGACATTTATACAAATCCATTAAAACAAAATGAATGGGTTAACGGAGCATAACAATACAGATGTGCCAAAAGTGCTAAAATGATGATGATATAATGATATAATATACATGTATTGATGACTTTATTGTTGTTATAACATATTTCATATAATTTCAAAGTTTTACATCAAGACTCAATTAAAAGTACATGTTTGTTAACGCTATAGTATATTCCTACTTGCAAATTGTGTATGAATGATGACATATACTTTTATGCTGTCTGTGCTTTAGCCTTTAAAAATGTTTGAGTTGCTTTTTTCCCGTTCGTATAATATGCAAAATATTTTAACACATTGCTTTTTCAAGTGAGAAATACAACAAACACTACAGGAATGACGGCATCGTCCACTTAATAAAGAATTACTACGTTAACTTTTCACAGTGAATTACTTTCTATTTACTAATTTCTATTTTCTAATATTAGACAAAATGTCAATGACTAACACAGTCAATGTCTTCGAGCCGATCCGAGATAGCCAGACTAATGTTACGTTACATACTATACATAGATACTGTACTATAGTATATATGGATTTTCTTGGTTAGTACATCCAGTGACTGTAAGATTACCTGTGAAACGTCTTCCCACAGTCAGCAAACCGCTTGATTTTGCAGCCAAATGCTACACATGTAGCCATTTTTGCTGCGCATCTCCGTAGGAGTGAGGAGTACCAATATGGCTTCACTTTTTTATTAATATTCTTATTATTAATATTATCTCTGACTCGTCTTTCATGTGATTAAATGGAGGTCTAAGATGCCTCCTAATCATTCTGACAGCAGCAGTCTGAACTGTGGTCCAATCCAAGATGGCTGTCTTCTACGCAAGTCGGCTTAGCTGCCAACAGCGTCCAATGAGGCGTCTACGTATATAATGTCTATGAGCGGAACAAAAGTGCCGTTTAAAAAATAAATTGGAAGATTTTTATTAACCTAAACAACTCTAGACATATAGCCCCAACGTGAAACCTAAGCAATAGATGGATAAAATATTAAAAACTACTTAGTAGCTATCTGTAGCTTCAGAACAATGTGATCACCAAAGAATGTACGAGCTAGAATCAATCATGATGTATAAAACGTTTGATAATAAAGATGATTATATTATTATAGTTGGTATCATTAGGGCTAAAATTCAGGGCTGGAGGACAAAAATCAAGAAACTGCAAACGATTATCTTCGTCAGCCCACCGGAGGGGGAAATTTAATCTATAGACATGTCAAATTCCACAATGCTATCCAAAATTCACAATACAGAGCTCTTCTCACAAAGCTTTTTTTCCCCCCAAAAGACACAGCATCCATCTCAGTTGTATTTATACCTATTGTAACCGTGTGGAAGCTAATTGGATTGTGTGTGTGTGTCTATTTTGTCTGTTTCTTCCTAAAAGACGTAATTGCATGGTTTTTAAATGGCCTCAAATAATATTGCTCCTATAGTGTTTCAAGAACAGGAGTCCTGCTTGAAATATTGATGGTGCCAAGTGCTGTATATAAGCCTAAGGAATCATTTAAAATAACTACTTTGCATCAACTCTTTAGCTCAAAAAGTCTGCGGTGTACATTTAAGTATCAATTATATTATAAATGAATGTTATAATGTTTAATTGTCATATTCCTAATTATACTCATCAATGTTATTTTTAAGAAAAAAGAAAAGCAAAAGCTTTTAAAATAGTTCAAAAAGTATGAAACATAATACAGTTTGGCCAAAAGCAATATACTAATAAATAAGCTTTTTTCTTCCTCAAAAAAAAGAAAAGTTAGCGCAACGGCTTGCCAAAAAAAAAAAAATCAAATAAAAGTGACACCTCCTAGATCTAGTTAGGCTTATGCTCTGTTCAGACGTACGCGATTGAAGCAGCAATAGGAGATGGTTTACATGCAAAGTCAATGGTTGACGCGCATTAAACAGTCCTGCAGCGTGTTTTGAGCAGCAGGAGCAGCGCACCTTGAAGCAACTGAGCAGCCGAATCGGCGCCTCATGAGCTTCTGAGCATTTGATGCACATGACGCGCTTCACAAGCAGCAGCTGGTGGAGATGGAAAAATTTAAATGTTGCTGCTTGACGCATGACAACAAGCAATCAGAGAAGCTGATCAGAGGATGGCAGGGAGACAGACAGCGCTGCTGAAGAAGATAACTATAATCACTACTCTGAAACAGTTCATTATCACCTACATTAACTTAAAATGTCGAAATCTGCTGGCAAAATATGTTCGCTTTTATTATTCTGATGCGTGCAGTTTGGATTACGTACATGAAATCCGCCTGTGATCTAATCATGGTGTCTAATCAGCATCTTGATATGTCACACCTTTGAGGTGGGATGGATTATCACAGCAAAGCAGAAGTGCTCACATCACAGATTTAGACCGGTTTTTGAACAATATTTGTGGGAAATTATTTTTGTGTATGTGGAGAAAGT